TGCTCCGCGGGAAGCCTGCTTCTCCCTCTCCCACTCCCACTGCTTGTGTTCCCTCTCTCACTGCCTCTCTCTGTCAAATAAATAAATAAAATCTTAAAAAAAAAAAAAAAAACTCCATTTTTTTCAATTTGTTAATATTTGTGGCCTAGGGCATAACTAATTTTTGTAAATGTTTGACAGACTTAAGAGAAAAACATATTCCTATTAAGTGACAAATTTTTCTTCTTTTAAAATGAGTTTGTTGATTGTACAATTCAAATATTTGTATAATCTAACAATTTTGATTTTGAAAAATGTTTATTAAAAACTTCTGCTATATTTGGATTTTTATATAGTGGGAAAAAGCATATGCTCAGGAAAAAGTATCAGAGACAAAATACATGGCAAGGAATGAGAAAAAAAATAGAATTTCATCTTATCAAAGTCTATGATATTACAAAAAAAAAAATCAATTTTTTTTGTTTTTAAGTAGGCTCCATGCTGAAGCCCCAACACAGAGCTTGAACTCATAACCCTGAGATCAAGACCTGAGCTGAGATCGAGTCAGACATTAGCTGAATGAACCACCCAGGTGCCCCCCAAAAAAACAATTTTTATGCTAACCACAATATACCTACTATAGAAAAACTTTCTGCAAGCAAATATTCTTCCTTAGATTCTTTTTCTATTTTTGAATAAACAATGGTTTTGATGCACTTTAATAAACAAGTATAATACATTTTAACTGAGATAACTATTTTGCCAAGAAACTGCACTTACTTTGGCTGGGAGATTGCTCTGTCGGGGTTTCTGTATCAAAATGTGGACCTGAAGAAGTATAAAGAACTCCTTTATTGTAATTTTCCCATCTTTGAGTTTCTGAGGAAGGAAAAAAAGTTTGCACAATATTCAAGGTGAGCTCATTTTGACTATAACCACCCCATTTTGTTTCTAAATAGCTTATAGTATTTTTCATATATTTGTGGAAATATCCAAATATTTGTAAGCTATACATGAACAGATTTTATCTAATATTATTTCTTAAGGTTATTCAGTGACAACAGAATTGAGAACAAACAACAAAACACAGGTCTTTTAATTGTGATTTCTACCCCATATGATCAATCACCATGCTGGGTCCTTAACAAAAAAACCTAATTCTATATATAGTTGAATATTTCATAATTTTTAAAAAAAATTTAAAAAGTGAAAACAAAACAGGGAATATAGTTGCATTAGAAATGAGAAATAGTTTAACATACCTCCTTCAAGCTCTCTTCACAAATAGTGTCTCCAAGAAACTGTGATGGTTCCATTTGACTATTGTGCTGTGCTAGATGTAAAGCAAATTCAGGTGATAAACAAGTCAAAATTAAATTGTAAGCTTAATTTTAATTATCATTCAGGTTTATGTGTTGTTCATGCTCTTAAAGCTATCCATTAGGATCTTTTTGGGAAAAGAGTCATTTACAGGGCAAAGTATATTACCGTTTTAAGACCCTATCCAATTATTTCTCTACTAATTATAAGCTTCTTTTTAAAGATTTTATTTATTTGACATAAAGTGAGAGAGAGAGAGAGAGAACACAAGCAGGGGAAGTGGTAGGCAGAGGGAGAAGCAGGCTCCCGGGCAAGTGGGGAACCCGATGTGGGACTCGATCCCAGGACCCTGGGATCATGACCTGGGCCAAAGGCAGACACTTAACTGACTGAGCTACCCATGCGCCCCTAATTATAAGCTTATTTAAGGAAATTACCCTTTATGGTCTATCACTTCTCAATTTATTAAAATAACTAAGCATTAAAAATAAACTAAAATTATTTTACTTATCAACTACGTATAACTCCCAAAAAGCTTAAATAAATTTCAAATATCTCCTGAATTGAATACATTTATTATTAGTGAAGTAAGCAGATGACGTCTATTATTTAGTCTTTATGAAGATCTTACTGCTGAAGTCCAGAGAGGTCCCATCGGCCTTGATCGAATCAAGAGAACTGCTGCAACTAGATGGTGTTCTGCTCAGGCTTTTTATCAAAACACTGTTAGTATTTTTATCTATATCCCCGTCAGCATGGTGATCAAAAATCTGAAATTATCAATTAAGGAACATCATCAGCCTCGTTATGACTCTGTATACTTAAAATAACTGTTGAACACTAACAAATACTACTTCATAACATAAAATTTATCTACAATTATATGAAATATCTTAGTAACAAACTGGAATAAGTAACAAGAACTTATTAGGCCTTTAGAGTTCAAAGTAATTTTATTTTAATTTTTTAAAAAGTTTATTTATTTTTCTTAGTAATCTCTACACCCAACATGGGGCTCAAACTCACAACCCTGAGATCAAGAGTTGCATGCTCCTCTGACTGAGCCAAACAGGTGCCCCTAAAGTTCAAAGGAATTTTATTTAAGAATACATAGAAATCAGTTTGCGTATTATACTGTATAAGCAAATTGTTTCTCAGATGTGTCTAAGTTAAAGCCAGATCCTATGAGCTGCCAAACGCTGACCTATTCAATTATTCAACTACTAGCCACCAGGGTCAGGGCTACCACACTGAAATAAAACAGCATAGAATATTGGCTATTCATAATGACTCTGGCTAGAACAACAAAGAAACTCATTTCCAGGTTTTAGTACTTCTTTCCCCAGATGACTAAGACTCCTTTGGCTGATGTCAAATAAGTGATATGGTCTTGCTTTTACCATTTTAACCATTTGACTTTAAGCCTTAAATGCCATTTTCATCTACCTACTTACATATGTTTTTGAGGACAATATATCCTTTGTCTAAATGTTAGAATGTAATCTCCATGAGAACAGATTTTTTTCTGTAAATTGCTGCTGATGTATTCCCAGCACCTAAACAGTACTCAGGACACAGGAGACATTCAATATCTACTGAACAAAATACTAATTTTCATATAATCCGTTCAGTTATAAATTTCCTATCACTGATACTACATTCTCAAAGCTTCACAGATGAACCATTTCCTCAGGACCTCATATTATAGAACTACTGAAATATTTTTCTAAGCTTACTCACATATTAGAGTTTAAATTTTGTTTCCTATGAACCTCTGATACTTTTTAAAATTATTTTATTTTTTTTAAGATTTTATTTATTTATTTGACAGAGAGAGAGACATAGCGAGAGAGGGAACACAAGCAGGGGGAGTGGGAGAGAGAGAAGCAGGCCTCCCGTTGAGCAGGGAACCCAGCGCGGGGCTCGATCCCAGGACTCTTGGATCATAACCTGAGCCGAAGGCAGACGCTTAACTGACTGAGGCACCCAGGCGCCTCTCATTTTCCAATTTCTTAAAGTGAGCATTAAAAATTCTTTTATTTTTAGATTCTCTTCTATAATAACAATGTTATCTAAGGCTTTTAATTTCCTGCAAAGTATAATTTTTGCTCTATGTCCCATATGTTTGGTATTAAATATTCTCCTTTGCTTTCTTAACAGTCTTGATTTCCTCTCTGAGCTCAGAGTTATGTACAAGTGTATTTTTCAATTTCCAAGAAGCTAAGAATGTTATAGTCCTTTCATTAGTTCTAATTTTATTGGATTAAGATCAAATGATGTTGTCCATAAAATCTCCATTTTTTTCGGGGCGCCTGGGTGGCTCAGTCGTTAAGCATCTGCCTGCGGCTCAGGTCATGGTCCCAGGGTCCTGGGATCGAGCCCCGCATCGGGCTCCCTGCTCCGCGGGAAGCCTGCTTCTCCCTCTCCCAC